GTCCAGAAGTAGATCAGAAACCATATGGGAACTCAGTGTATGATAAAGGCAGCAACTCAAGCAGGAGCAATAAAAACACTCAACAAATTAAATGGCCACGGGAGAAGTGCTTAAGCAAAAAGCTCCTCACTCTTCACTTTCCAGCAAAATAAATTCTGGAAGCAGAAAGAATTAGAAGTAAAGACTGTAACCAAAGTCCTGGGAAAAGGGGATCAATATAAAGGCTCTTTTGTTTTTTTTAAAGTGGTGCTGAGGGCCAAACCCAGGCCATCACACATGCTAGGCAAGTATCCTGCCACTGAGCTCCGCCCCCAAGTCCAATGTCTTTCTAAATTAGGACTCAAAATCAGAAGTCATTAAAAAAAAGCTTAACAACTCTGACTATATGAAAGTAGATGATTCTGAATGAAAACAAACAAAAACATGACCATGAAGAAAGACCAAAGAAAAACAAGAATTTAGGAATTGTATTTATGATACATTTAGCAAAGACACTATTTCCTTTCTATAAAAAGCTTGCTAAAAAAATGGGCAGTTTATAAGGAAAAGTACAAATGACATAAAGTTGTATATGAAAAGATGTTTTACCCAAGGTAATAAAAGATATAATCAATGTCCTTTCCGACTATGAGATTAACCAAAATTGAAAGGTTAATGGTGATGGCCAGATGTGGTGACACACACCTAGAATCCTAGCAGTTGGGAGGGTGAGGCAGGAAGACCACTGTGAGTTCAAGGCCAGCTTGACCTATACAATGCGACCTTATCTCCCATGATAAAAAGATACAAATACCATGTTACTAGAAGCATAAAATGATGCATTCATTCTAAATCTATAAATAGTGATCAAAATTTTAAGTTCACATATTCTACTGTTAGAGGATCATTTTCCAACTTTTATGCATAGATAATCTTAGAATTCATTCACAACAGGTTTTTTTTTTTTTTTTTTTTTAATGTTTTCAGGGTGGCACATTTATGGGCTTTTTTAGATTAATAGAATTTTTAGGTTAATTGAAGCACCCCAGACTGTACGAATGAATTTTGGAGAAGTTAGCTAAAAGATGAAGCAAAAGATTGTGATTGTTAAACTGTGCAATAGCTATCAAAATAAAAAATGAGGTGCCCTCTGCTCCAGTAATCTCACTGCTGAGGATTTACCTCCTCATAAACTTACCGAAATATAGAAATACTTACCCCAGCACTGCTGAGAACAGCAAAAATTAGAAAAACACCTAAAACCTCATACACAGGTAATCAGTGACATAAATTACATAATCCTTAAAGTGGAATTCTGTGCAGCTGCCTTAATGAGGCAGGTCTTTACTGCTGTATAAGAAGGCGTCCAGAGCAGACTAATCAATGAAAAGGCACAACACAGCATGATCTTAACTTTGGTAAGTTTTTGAAGAGACACACACATATAATTCCTGGAGGGAAATTTCCAAAAGCATTCATAAGCAGTTACACTTTTTTTTCTACTGAATGTGCAACTGTTACATTTCACTAAATAATTTTTGAAGACTAACGATATAACACTGTGAACTTGAAGAGAACAAGAAAGGCTACATTCATGAATTCAGCTTTTAATACCCTATCCATCTCCCCCACAAAGAGCAGCTGCTGGGGAAGTAACAGGAGAGGCAGGGAGGGAGGGACAAGGGCCCTGGAGAGCCCCTGCCAGGACTGGCTTCTTACACCTGCGCATTCCATCAACTCCTCATCCCTCAAAGGACAAAGGGTGCTTTACATCCTGGGATGTGATGCGGTCTCTCTGTATCTTGGCTCCCCCTCCTCTCCCCTCCTGCCCTCCTTTTACCCTGGGTTTATGCTCAGTGCCATCAAAGTGAGTGTCAACTCCATGAGTCAGTGCGACCTCTTGGCTTCATATCCCTACTCATGCCCTTCCTCCCTCTCCTGATTTCAGACTCACCACTGGCATCACCCTCTACAAGCCTCTGGTTCTCCAAGCTTCCCAAGGTCTCCTGTCCCTGGGTGCCCTGTCCTCTCTTTCCTTCCTCATTAGCCTGTAAACTCAAGTATGTACATGCACCAAAGACTTTCAGATGGGGTCCTGGCCTCTTTTCATGGCTTACTCCATCTAGCTGTGTACACTGCTTCCTCTGAGGGACTGTTTCAGCTCCACCAGTCCTGTCCTTACCACGGGTTGTACCCTCAGCTTGCAGGGGCCAGGGCTGCTGCAGCACGTTCTTATACAGGAAAGCACTGAAAGGAAGCTCTCAGTACAAGTGATACATTTCTACTTTCCTAAGAGCAACTGACCCCCCCCCCCCCACACACACACACTCACAAAGGAACTCATCAGGTTCTTGAGCACTGAACGGCTCTTCTTTTTTGGTCTTTTTCTCTGCCAACCTATATTCTCTTGGGCTAGTCAGACACCACAGAGAAGGTACCTCATTCTCTTTGGTACCAGGCTAGAAGCCGGAGTCAGGAAGAAGGATGGGGGCTGCTCACTGTCAGCCTGTGAGCTTCCTCTTAATTTCTACTTTCAGAATGTCTCCTTGCCACCTGTGCAGTGTGGCTGGTGTCTCTCAATCTAGATAGTCTCTGCTTACCCCATCATCTGCCAAGATGGCTATTTGGAGGGAGGGACAGGACTACAGGTCCTGCTTCTGAGATGTTTAAATAATGCATCTGTTCTCAATCCTCCCTTTATCCCATTTCCAGAGGTTCTTGGCATTACCAGGTCCTGAGAACTAAGAGGAGGACATGGTCAAAGGCAGGTGCCTCAGGGCTGGCAGTGACTGACCACTTGCCTATCTGCTTTGGGGCAACCACCTCGTGTCCTATTCTTTTTGGTTTTAGGCTTTAAAAAAATCTTTTCACTGTTCTTTTAGACAAATACATATAATCAACCCACACTCTTTCACGGATATGCTCTTGAGGGTATCTCACAACAATTCTATGATTTTAAGTATTTTTGTTTTTGAAACATAGTCTCATTTAGTTTAGACTGGTCTTGAGTTCACTATGTAAGCCAGGCTGGCATTGACCTTGTGGCATTCCTCCTGCCTCGGCCTCCCAAATGCTGGGGTTATAGGCCTGCACCAACACACATGGCAGGGACTTAACCATTACTGTTCCACTTCACAAAAGAAAAAGAGGCTTGGAGAAGATATGTTACTTGCCAAAGGTCACCTAGCCAATACATAGAGTTATAATTTGGACCTATCATTGAGGCTCACTATGACATAGCAGAGGTAGAAAATCTACAGCCTAGAAGGGCTAAGCATCTTCTGAAAGATAGATAGGGTCTTGCTAAGTCAGTAAGTTGCCTGGGCTGGTCCTAAACTTTGAATTCTCCTACTTCAGGTCCCCAGAGTGTTGTTTGTTCTTGTTAATAGCTGAAAGGAATGACAAGCCTAAGGATTGACATCTATCATATGGACATACAGTCAAGGGCTGAATGACCGTGTTTGGTCAAATGGTAGTCATGTGAGATTTAATGGAGCCAAAAACTTCCTATCACCTAATGATATGACAGACATCATAACCACTGGAGTGAAATTTATCACTCATGGTGCTTTACACACTGCACTCTTAGTTATATACAAGTGTGGCATGTATAATTATGAGTAATGCACAATACTTAATAACTGTTACTGGTTTATGTAATTTTTCCTTGTTCCTTTAGAGTGTACTCCTTCTTATACATTAAAAAGAAGTTTGCTATAATTGTGATCTATTACACCAGGAGCCCCCATGTTTTTAGTGAGTGTCTGTCTCTTTTTCTTTTTTTGCAATTCTAGGGATAGAACCCAGTGCCTTTAAAGCACTAAGCTACATCCCCAGCCCTATTTTATTTTGAGACAGGATCTAAGTTACTAAGCTGTGTAGGTTGCACTCAAATGTCCTATCCTTATGTCTCAGCTTCTCATGGTGCTTGGTACTACACCCAGCTTACAACATCTCTTGACCTAATCGGCAGGCCAAATCCACTAATCTGTATCAACTTAAGTCTGTGAAAACTCTTGGAGGCTGGAACAATGATGTACCTCTCAGAATGCATGGTTGTTAAGTGACAGGACTGTATGTGGAAGTAACATAATAAAAATAACTTAGATATGCATGGGGGCAGAGAGACTTGGCCAAGAAGAGGACAAAAACATCCTCTGACCCTAGGTTAGAACAAAGTTTGTGGCGTACAGGGACCTGCTCATTGGAGGCGACTTTTGTGTCTTTCCTTTAATGTTTGCCGTCATCACTCAATCCTTCTCAAATTTTCTTTTCAGTTATGGCTTAGTAACATATGTGTCTTTTCTCTCCTTCAAACTGACAAGCAGGGTAAAAAGTTAGCCCTTTTTACTGTGTACATCCACAGCATTTGCCACAGGGGCAAGATGACAAGGCCTGTATCTGTTTTTTAAAAAGAAGGAACCAAACGGAGCACAGAGTTAGCATCTTTAATCTAAAAATCCAAAATCTGAAAATTTCACTGCCGACTTAATGCCACAAGTGGAAAATTTCACACTTGGTTCCATGTGACTAGTCGCAGTTAAAACTCGAGTAAATTAAAAATACTGCATGAAATTGCCTTCAGGCTGTTTGTATGAAGACTTGGGTCTCATGCCCAAGATATCTCATTAGGTATATGTAAACATCTCAAAAACAGGAAAAAATCCAAAATCCGAAATATATCCGATTCCAAGCATTTTGGATAACTCATATTAAAGGTAAGAAAATTGTGGCTCTAAGAAGCAAACTTGCTCAATATCGCTATAAGGAAAACTTGAGCAGTTGGGCTGCAAAGCCGGTACATAAACATGAGTTTGAATCAGCAGGCCTCGTTCTTAAGCAAAGTGCAACTTTCAAGAATCAATGAGATTGCTGAAGTCACAGGCTTACTCTGTGTGGCTCACTTTCCCCATCTGTGAAATGGGGGTGCATCCCAGAACACCTAGGACTGTGGCAGTTTAAAACGTGAGGGATGAGAAGCCAGTGAGAGTGTAGTAACGAGTCCTGTCCAAGGCGCTTACCATTTGATAATGTTGTGAACCAAAGGTAAAAAGGAGTAGTTCTCTTCCTCCTTCACGCCGGCCGGCGACTGAGGCCGTGGCGCCGGCGACTGCTGCGGTGGGGGCGCGGCAACTGGTGGCGGCGGCTGAGGAGTGGGCAGCGGCTTGGTCTCGGGCAGCGGTGACTCGGATGGCGGTGGTAACGCATCCTCCGCCTGTCGTCCGGGGACAACCCCAGCGGAGGCCATAGCTGCGGAGCTCTGTCAGCAACTCAATCTGCAGGACCCCCAAGAGTCCGCCGGCCCGCCAGCAGTGTCACCAACATATGACGTCACTACTACGCGCTGTAGTGAGACCGGAGTGGTACTGAGCATGCGCACTTGGCCGGGAGCCGCAAAGGGCGCTGACGGAGGGAGTGGGGGGGGTTGTTGCTAGGCAACAGGCTTTGGGGTGGATGCGAGGTGGCCTGAATTAGGTTGTGTGTTAAGATAGCTAACTTATTAAATAGTCAAAAATAGAAGTAACAGTCTTCTTACTCCTATTTATATGACGAAGAGGGTTCAAAAACAACAAACAGGAAGCGTTGAGGTAATAAGCTTTCCATACTCAGCTCTCAGGTCTTGGCAGGACCCAATCACAGAGCAGGAAGGGTGGGTGACATTTAGGGAGTGCCTGTGCTAGGCCTGAGCTGTGTGGGCACAGAGAGTTTAGGGACGAGGGCCTATACTCCTACACCGGCTAAGCCATAGTGCAAGACCCTGGGCTGAGGCCAGAGGACACAGAGGCAAATAAATTGTGCTCTCAAAGTTCCACATGCTGACAGAGAAACTAATAATTTAACTCAACAAACATTGGTCAGCTGGATGTGTGTAAGGAAGTTCAATACAAAGCAGAGGGGACTCACACCAGAAATAAATATATCCTAGAAGAGACCATCAGATACCCTTATGACCTTTGGGCCAGTTCCTTAAGACTTTAGGTCCCAGTTTCCTTGTCTTTAAAAGCTTACTTAGTTCAGGGTCATAGCAGAGCTAGCTAGTACTTTCTGACTTCACATAGATAATTGACCCCAAAGGGATCCTGTAGGATACTAGGCCAAAGAGGACTTCTGCTAGGTCTGTATTTATGCTTCTCAAAACTAGTGCGATATGAGGGCTATATTACATATTTGTAGCAGTGGGCACAGCTATCCTAAGCTTGGTAAATGTGCAGAAGACACAAGCAAGGAAATTGTCAACTGGTTGGGCTTAACACCCCTCAGGCCATCATCATGGCAGTGGAGAGAGGTGAGGAAGCCCATATTCGGCAAGTAAGATCAACAGAGTGCTTCAGGGCAAGGTGGTAAACCCCAAGGAAAGCACTGTGCTGACATTTTGAGGGGTTTGGAGGGTTGTGTGAAGCAGATTCTGGGGAAAGGGGACATGTGCTGTAGTTAAGGAGTTCCTCACAGCTTTCTTTACCCAGAGCTTCCCAGACTACCCCAGAGGGAGAGCAAATGGACAGACAGAACTGTAGTATTTTATTCTTTTTAACCTTGAACCTCTCAAATTAAGAGAGTAGTTCAAAAGTCCTGGAGGATAAAAAGGCCTTTTGGAATAGGGCTAGATGTGCTGGAAGAGTCTGTATATTCCTGGAATCATCTGGGGATATAATGATAGTAGAATGGAAATAATAATAATAATAATTGCCACAACTCTCATGGAATAAAAGTAAGCTTAAAGAACAGTTAAAATTGCTATTTCCAAACGCCCTAGAAAGTAGATGTCAGTATCTCTATTTTATAAATGAGGAAATAGCTTTCCAGTGTTTATAGTATCACCCCAGGGTCACATGATAACAAAGCTTGCTTGACACTAAGTCTACGGTCTAAACTATGTTTAGAAGACCTCAGGTTTATTACTGTTCTGTAACTTTATGATTTGAAATGTTAAAAGTGAGTTTCTCTGAGAATTATAAAAGCAATCCAATAAAATCAATAATATCCCTATGGCAACCAAACGTCATCTTTTCCCACTCATGGTGTTTTATAACTTAATTACAAGTTCCAATTTTATCATTGGCAGAATAACGAAGGTATCTCTTTAAAAATGAAAACACTTCAGGTATAAATAGATATGGCTAAAGAAAACAAATTGAAAACGTGGGAAGGATGAACAAGTATGACAAGCATTGACAATTTCCCCTAAGATAGTTAATATAATTAGTAGAAAAGAATACAGCTAGCTTCATAACATTGCATGTTAATGTCACAAAAATACTGCCTGCAGTAGCTTCATTAAGGCTGAAATTGCTGCCAAAAATGTGTATCTTTATAGCCTCCCTGCTAGAAGTAAAAAAAAAAACAAAACAAAAAACAAAAGACACTCAATTGAAATGTGTGAGAATGTACTGTTAGAGACTTCACCAAGTTAAAAGATATGACTGTTGCTTTCTTAAGCAACTTTATGCTGTTTCTCACAGCTAGTGGTTTAAAGGTCAGGCTTCAGAGCCAGTCTATCTGACTCCAATCCCAATTCATCGTCTGAAGTTATTCAACTTTAGTAAGTTGCTTCATCGTGCCTCACTTTGTGCAAGTATGCAATCTTGCAGGAAGACTAGATGGTTTCTGGTATGTTGTTATGGTTTAAATGTGTCTCCATAAGCTCATGTATGTATTAGAAACTAACCCCAAGTTGAGAGGTGAGAGCTTTCAATGGTTACTAGGTCCCCAGGACTCTGCCCTTAAGAATAGATTAATGCAATCACAGGACTGGGAATCATTATCAAGAGAGTAAGTTTGTTATAAAAGCAAGTTAGAGACTTATTGTCTCTTCATGCAATGCCTTCTGCCATGTTAGGACAGAGAAGGAAGACCCTCACTAAACGTGACTCCTTGGTCTTACCCTCAGCCCTGGAACTATGAGCTAATTAATTTCTGTGCAATATAAGTTACCCAGCCTATGGTATTCTATTATAGACCACAAAATGGGCTAAGACATTTACAAAACACTTGGAATAAATATCTGTGCACGGTAAACATCAATGCCTCTTACTATGTAAGTTTAGGGTTTCTTCCTTCACTGATTAACAAAGTCCATGCTGATAGCAGTTTTAAAAAATATAGCTTCAAGTAAAGCCACAAAAACATCATTTTAGCCTGTTATGGTGGCATACATCTGTAATCCTAGTACCTAAGGCTGAGGCAGGAGGATCATAGATTCAAACCCAGCCTTGGTGACTTAGCAAAACCCTCTCTCAAAATTAAAAATAAAGGCTGGGGATGTAGCTCAGAGTGAGGGCTCTATGTTTAATCCCTAGTACATATATACATATATATATATAATATATTTATATATATTATATATATAATTTAAAAGGGAAATAAGTTGATTTTAATAACCCAATGCATTCAAAGTGCTATTTCAACACATAACCAATATTAAAATTATTAGTTTTTTTACTTGTTTTTCATACTGCCCTTCTTACATGTTTTATAGTTAGAGTACATCTCCATTTGCATTATTTGTATTTCAAGTGCTCAGGGGCCATGTGGCTGGTGGATGCACAACTGGATGGTACAGAGAGATTGGTTTCCATCAACACAGGCAGAGGACAAAGCCCAAGGGCAGAAAGGGAGGGAAAAGCAAGGGCACAAAAGGCATTACTTAACGTGGATGTCACAACTGACATGTGTTAGCTTTCTGTTACTATAACAAAACAACTGTTTTGATCTGTAGAAACTGCATGCATGTGTGTTGAGGTGAATGATAGATCATGCAGAACAAAATCTGCTTAAAAAGAGGAACAATTAATTTTATCTCACAGTTTTTGAGGTTTCAATTCTTGGTCATTGGTCCCTGTGTTTCTGGGCCAGTTTTTAGGCAGCAAATCATGGCAGGGAATGCAAAATATGGCTAAAATGGTCTGGGAACTAAGCCTATGATACATGGACTTTTGGGGAAACAGATATCCAAATTGTAACATTATATAAATCTTTAAAATAGGAAAAACAATATTATATACTGTCTCTCTATATAAGACATATATACATTAAAGTATTTTTAAAAAGAAGCTGGAATGAACCCTCCCTATTCATGCAAGAGGAATAGAACTCAGAAGTGGGATATAATATAAACTTTCTGTGAGTGTTTTCCCTTCCTTCCATAACTTATAATAGGACTTGAAGTAAATGAGAAAAATATAAACCATTGCCAAACATGAAGGTGGGTACTTGGGGATTTGGCCTATGGAATATAGATTCTTTACCTCTCTGATTCATCTTGGACAAATTATTTCACCTTTCTGCACCATGGCTTCCCCATCTGCAAAATACAATCATAAAAATACCTACCTCTGGGGGCTACTGCAAGGATGATCAGTTATTATAGGAAAAGAGCTTTGAACTATGCCTGGCACATAATAAACTCTATTTCAGCTTGAAACCGCTCCATTGGAAGCAAACAGAAATCAATCTGCATCCAGAACTGAGCCTTAAGCCTATTCAAAGTGGACCTGAATCACCAACACCTATGAGCTCACTTGTGATAGACTTCGGCTACGTGAGGTCCAAAAATAGCTCTTTCTCCGTCAGACAAATGGTGCGGGGCTGTTAAACCAGTCATGTCATTGTGTGCCTGGGGGCTTTTTCATCAAAGCCGTGTACTTACAAATGATTCATTCTTTTCTTTTCATTACCTAGAGCCTTGGGCAGGTGGGAAAAACTACATGATACTTTGATTTTTGTGAGTGGAAAAAAAAAAGGGAAACAATCACGGCTCAAGCCAAATGCAGTGCAGTATATACCAGGAATCAGCTCCCTCAGGCCCTGATTCGTTACTTAAACCTCAGACAAAGGCCCTTTCCCTGGTTCTACCCGGGCTTTCTTCTCTGTCTGAATTTGATTTGATTTCCTTTTCTTTTTTTCCTTTCAATCACCCTCTCTTTGCTGAAAGCTACCCCATTATGCCCAATTTCTCAGCTCTCTTGTGTTGGGGCTTCATTTCTCAGAAGCACTCATTTGGAGGCACTTCAGTATACAAATTGGATTGTATTTCTTTAGACTCAGAAAATTTTCCTTTAGTTCTTATTCCTTCTTTTTGCGATTTTTCTCCAGACCTCCACCAGCTGTCCTTTGAATTACCAAATAGCTTTTGATATAATGCAACTGAAAGGCAATCCTTTCCAGGAACTAGCTTTTGTCTAAAATGCTTCATTATGGCTTTGAGGCCATATTTTTTTCTGATCTCTTTATCAAGTATTTTTCATGCAAATTATTTGTTAGGCAAGGTTCTTTTTTTCTTCCTTCTATCTACCAGCTGCTCCTGAAAAGCCTCAACCTTCACCCCCTCTGTTAATCTT